ACTCTTTAACTGTTTAATTTAACTACTGAATGGCTGAGGACTGTAGAGGAACAAGGATCCCTCATTTCCCTTTTTGCAGAAACGACTGACAACAGAAGCATTCTCTCCTCTTTCACTTCTCTGTTTATTTCTCTCCAGACATCTGACAGGCTTAGGCAATACCGTCCACCTCGTGGAGATTTACGGACCGATCAAACAGACACACGCCCCTTTGACGCACAACGCCCCGCCAAATGCACACACATTGCCGCACAGGCAGGAAGATGCCCACTAAAAAGAGCGGTAAAGAATGGCGTTGGATACACCAATAGTGGAGAATTATGTGTGGACCAGAACAGCAATGGAAGCCGATGTATTTTTCCAAGTGATTCAAATCATTGCAATGCAGCATATAAAACCAGCAGGAAAACGTCAGTATTTCCTGTTTAGAACTGATGCGTTAAGAATAAAAACTGCTTTTATTTGGTGGGAATGTTCTGTCACTTTCTGGAATTTGATCACAGTGTCATTCACATAACTCTAACTTCTAGCTTTGTCCCTTCGCACCCAGCGTTTGTGTTTCCGAGCTTTGCACCGACTTTGAAACTGAAATGAAATTATAAACTACTTCAGGCATTTTCAAATATTTGGGCAGCTTTTTTTTTTGTTCTACATTTATTTACTTTACTGAGTAATTGTGCAACAGATTTGTCGATCATAACCTTCCTGGAAAATGTGAGGAAACGCAGGAAAGTGTAAAAACTCTTTACAAATATGAGGTTTTAGGCAATGGCAGATCGACAGATCCTATCTATTGGGTGTGTTTGACCTAAGTGCATTGCTCTTATGTCCTCAGTTTTCCCTCAGGGAATCTAGCTGATTGAAAACGTATGCACAACCATTTTCAAATTCCTTTAGCCTATTGCAGCAATTGTCTTGGCTCAGTCACTTTTTCAGTTGTGTATCTTTGGCTCTGAATTGGAATATTCAGACTTCCTTTAGCGTATTTACTGTACTCTCTCCATCTGGTAAACATCTGCCTCAGCTGTACCTTAACAACTGAACTACAAAAGAGTTTTAAATAGACATGCTTTCTCTGGGCATTATTGGAACAAACAAGATAGGAATTTCTAACAATCACAGCCAATAACTAAGCATGAGTCATGGGTGTGAAATCAGGCAGCTACATACAAGAAGATTTCCAGTGAAAGGTTGAGTGTTCCAAATAGCATTCTGAATCATCTGAGCCCTTCGCAAGAACCCAGTTTTATAGTTCGCTCATTTGGAGAAAACAAAAACACATCTGCACAAACATCACACGACAGCTCGAAAGACCAGTTCAACAGTAGAGAATCCTCATTAGAAAATCCAACCAGACGAAACATCGCAAGATGCCTGAAGAGGGTAGAAGGCCGGAACTCGGATGGCATTTACCAGGTACAAATTGGAGGCAAATAAGCTAATTTACTAACTACAGAGCTGTATTTATTTGAAAATACTGCCCAATAAGCCTTTTTTGTCATTCATGATACACTAATGCCAGTTTACGCTATATCCTCTTGTTTGGAATTATGGAGAAAAGTTTGAATTTGGATAAAAGCTGAAAAGGGCTTAAACCAATTCAGCTGCTAAAGCTTTGAGCATCGTATTCTCAGTTTGACTGTGAAGAATGAGCTCTGTCAGAAACTGAGGTCTGTTGGGGTTCCTGATGGCTGAAGACTTTAATCATCTAAGTGCCCTGTCGCTCTGTCATAACTTCATTTTCCGAAATGGCAGAAAGATGCATAGGAATAACACTTTGATATATTTGTCCCTGATTGGCTTTCATTTCGGTTGAGTGCTCTTTCTTTGCCAAATTCAGCGCCTGCTTTTATTTACAGCTACTTTAAGACCATTGTATGGTCTAATTTAAGGCCACTGACTCTCTTTTCTGTTTATTCTGCAGAGCAGCACTGTGCTGGGTGGCCAGTTTACAGCTAGGCTTCTCTGTTGTATCCATGCAAGCAAATAACTGATTATCCATTGTGGAAACTTTGAATATGTTAAGTCTACCCTTTGCATGAACTATAGACATATTACCCCTTGTATCATTTATGGTTCGAGCAAAATGCACACATATGAGGACTAAGGAAGCTCCCCAGCGCAAGCTCTCTTAGGACTGGCTAATATAAAATCTCTCAAACTTTCCTCATAGACAGACACTGAAACAAACACAGTCAGTAAAGGAGCAAGTCTTAAATCGACACAGTCAATACAGACAATTAGTAATTTGACACATGCTCAAAAGGATGGCTTTGAATGGCCACATCAGGTCCAACAGGATGCTCACATTTCCAGATATCTACTTTGAACTTTGAAGACCAGCCGATTCTCAAGTATATGATGGTGGTGTGCTATTTCTTTGTTTGTCCAGTTCCTATTTGATACAGTTTATATGGTAAGTCAATGCACCTCAGATCAGATTTACTACAACAGGAATAATGATTTGGTACTATTTTGGTACTATTTTGGCACTAAAGTTTCCAAATGATGTTAATGAATGTCACCATTTATTTAGTGAAGATGCAGAGATTCATAAGAGAGACGTGGTGCGTGGCAGACACACTGAAGAAGAAGAGGAGATCATTAATGTCCTAACAATGTCTCCAGAATTAGACTCATTCTGCAACTGCCCATCATGTGCTGGTGGGAAGCACATGATGAGCCGGAAGCAGCAATGTCAACAGCAAGCTTTGGAGTGCAATAAAGGATGACCACAATTCAAACAAAATGACTTTCAGTAACACATCGCATGCAGTCGAGTCACTCTTCTTTAGAACACCCACAAGCTTCACTGTTTCCATCCATACACCTAGGTGAATGGTAAAGTTTTAGCTTTTCATTTTTAGAGGATGCATTTTAATCTAAGTTAGATTTAAGGCCATTTAACTTTTTAACTGACCTAATTTAATGTCAGCCCATGTGCATTGTTAACCAGTTTTCAATGTGAGATAAGATATGAGGGGGAGATTTGTATTGGACTTAAAACAAAGGAAACTGCTGTTTGGATACAAATGACATAGTTAAAGTTTAATTTAGGGCACAGGTGGACACACCCTGCTCGTTGGACAACACACTGTGTCACATAATAAAACTGAAGATAATGTCAGCACTCATATGGCTGTTTGATTTTAAACAGAACACTCCAAGGCAGCATTCTGCTGATGGGTAGCTATACTGAAGTCTATGTGTGAGACTCAACCTGGGTAAGACTCTGATCTCAGATAATCACTGGTTGTCTGTTTCTGCCTCACTGGTAATGCAGTTTGCATTCATATATAGAAACATTGGATTAGAATGATTCAAGTTTAAACAAAAACAATCTCTGACTTGTAAAAAAAAAAAGTTTATATTGATCATGGAATGGATGGATTTCATCAGGAAACTAAAGAATGCTGAATTATTATGATTATTTGTTATTTAAAATTAAACACACAGCCACTTTGTGTGGTTTTTTGGCACTTTTTAGCACTCATTCAGCTTGAGGGGGTGAAAATAAAACTTGTTTTCGATCGCATGATAAGCCGGTAGCCTTAACTTGGCGTGCGCTGTTTGGGGGTGGAGTCACTTTGAAAACAGTCCGCCGCAAATCCGTCCGGTCTGCGAAGTTCAGTTCCACTAAAATAATAAAGGACCCTATGCCGGGAACGGAGACCCAGACAATGACAAGTTTTCCTGAAAAGGTTGATAACATTGTGCTCTTTGCTTCCGTTAAGGAAAACATACGAATTAGTTTTCAACACACTTGACACACATGACAGGTGTTTCGCTATTGTTCCAAGGTGGTTCCAGGGTGGAGATGTTATCAGGATGGATCGTTTTCCATTCCCAGCAGACCTAAGCTCAGAACCAGGTGTACCAAGGAACGACAGGAAGAAATAGGTTGGTCTTAGAATAAAAATCTACCCTTTCAAATGTATATGTAAGGTTTTGTTTGCAAAAAGGGGGCAATAGTCAAGTCAGTCAGTGGGACGAAGGAACAAGTTGACCAGTATTATGTTAAATAGGACTATTGAACATAATAAACTGTGGGAAAGGGAACAAAAGACAAAGTTGGTCAGTAATCTATGCAATGCATCTCATTAAATTGGGTCATTTCAGGTGTAATCATAATTCTCTTTACACGAATGGTACTGTACTGTGATCACTTTTTTACAGGTAACAACATCATTAAGTACCTTCTTTTAGCTCTTATTGGACAAAGTAGGGGATAGAAAGAACATGTAGGCTATGCCTTGGATTGGTACAACTGGACACATGTGAATGGAGTTAAAGAATAAAAAATGTAATGACAGCGTATAAGCTGCAAAATGAATTTGTGTATGAGCAAAACTTCTTTGGGCCTCATTGTTTATGATGTTCTCAGGGTTTTGGAGATAACGATGAGAGACAGTCGGCTGACAACATGCCAACATGCCTTTCTGATTCCAATCAAACCGGTTTAAGGGTAAACCTGTACAAAAATAGCAAAGTGATCATTTTTGGGCAAGCACAAAATTCCTGGGATGACTTTAATCCTAACCCCCCTTTGGCACCATTAACAATGGCTTCATTCTCAATAAGGAGCACCACTAAGCAGCAAGAACCATGAGTTTAGGTCATTAATCACCCACCCAAATAATCTTATTTGCAAAATGCATGCCAGTCAGGCGTGGAAGAAAACAAGCCACGTAGAAGGAGAGCCAGCGCGTCACGCTTTCACAGGCTGGGCCCTGTTTGATGAACTCCTGGCAGACTACGGGGATTTGGGCACAACAGCGCCTCCCCAGCTTGAGTTTGGCCCGTTGGCCATGCCGGGTTATTTAAGAGGGGGGGCAGAAGGCGGCAGACACGCGGGCGGCTGCACTCTCACCTGCTCCCAGAGCTCCGGCTGCGTTCACGGGGACCCTTTGAGGCGCCCTGCCTCCATCTCCCAGGCGCTCTTTTTCATTTGAAAGAGGAGTTAAAGGAGGACGAAACTTTTTTTTTCTCTCTCTTTTTTTTTGGTTTAGTTGCCACGAACAGGTCGTCAACTTGTTCATGCTGTTGCCATTCCTTCTCCTGTTTTTCTGTCATTCTGGGTAAGTTGTGCTTTGTTTCAGTGCATGCGTTTATCCCTCAGCCATGCGTAAATGTAATGGACAGCATTTGCGTAATGGGTTGCATGACAAGCAACTATCACTGGCTTCGTGTGTCCGCGTGCAGTTTTGCTTCAACATAATTGCAAAAAATGATTGATCAAACTGTTAGGCTTCGGCAAAGCTAGAAAAAGCGGCAGGAAAGAAGTGAACCAACACTGGGGGCGCGCAGTTGTTACGCGTTCCGCTCCGTCTCTGATCAGAACGCAGGATCGGTGCAATTCCACTCCAGTGTTGGTTTGTGTGTGTGTGTGTGTGTTTGTTTGTTTGTTTTTTCTGCTGGAATCTTGCTGTAAATCCTCTGCCACGTAAATCGCGGAGTCGTTCTTTCTTATGGGGAACCAGACCCGGGTCGCCCTCAGACCAGAGGACCACGTGTGTTGATTTTAGGTTTTATGTTTCAACTGTTCTCAGAAAAAAAAGAGAAAAAAAACGTTTGCATTACATTTGAATTATCTGCAGGAATGTTTAGAAATACCCAAAGCATCCAAAAACATGCTCTCTTTTTGGTTTGCTCCTGGCTAATATTAATACTAATAGTTATTCTAAATCTCTCCAGTTTGAAGGAGTGGCCACAAGCCCAGCTGTTCTTTTTTTTTCTTTGTGTATCTAAACCACAGAGGATATAGTTTTAAATCTATAACCCCACATTTAGTTTCTGTTCCTGCTTTTCTCTGTTGAAGCAAGTGGAAGAGATGCGTCTCAGCTGCTGCAGAGTCTGGAGCGGTCACCTGTCCATCACAGGCTTCAAAGCCTGAAGAAACTCTCAGAAATCTCGAACCTTACATTCACTTTAGGATAAAGATTAATCTGTTGTTTTCTCTGTAGTTTGCAAAGCGAAAGTGAAAGTCTGAGGTGTAGTAAAAACAAGTTGTCACATCAGAGATGTCATAACGGAGGACGTTTTTGGGGGGCTTTCATGGGTAAAGACGGGGCAAGCTCTCCAAGGGACTCTGTCTTTGTTGTGTGAGGATTCCTTTCGGCCAGCCAGCGGTCAGTCTCTGTGTGTGTGTTTCTGTCTGGGAGCATTGTGATGCAACGCTGGTTCGGACTGCTCTGCACAGATTAGACTGCCAGCTGCAGACTGAGAATCACAGCCAAACGTGTTTACAAGACAAAGTTAAGTCTGCGTCGTAAATAAATACAAGCTCTGTGGTGACCAAATGGAAGCATCTCAGCATGAATCCAAACTGATTTACAGCCTAATCCTGAAACCACAGCGACCAAAGAGAGCCTAAAAAAAATGACTGCAGACTCTCTAAGAATGTGACAGAACCGTCGAGGAAGTGACACCAGAGCAGACGATCTCTTTTGTTTTTTTAACCTCCTGAGACCCGAGCTTTTATTTGGCACGCATTTTAGCTTTTTTTTTAAAGATATATGAGATACATATTTAATTAAATGTTTTTACAATTTTGTTCTGACAGTCCCATTGACTTATTTACATTTTTTCTATTACACAATAAGAACATGATTGGATGGAAATGTATAAAACCATTTTACTTTAGATTTCAAACAGTGTCTGGTAGCATCTGCTATGAGGCCAAGAGGTCAAAGCTGAAAGAAAAAAAGAAGTATCATGGTAAAGAGAGACAAAAATGCAACGTCCACTTATGAGGACACAGGGTCTCAGGAGGTTAATGTTTTACAGACTCTGCTTTCTCCAGAGTTTCATTCCTCCCATGTGTGCACCACAAACCCCAGACAACAGCAGCCGCAGAGCATCCGTGGGACAGCCAGCGCTCTGGTAAGCCTTTGATTAACCTTTGGGCCGACCAGGTCTCTGTCACAGGACGTTACAGTAACTAGCTGCTGCTCGAGTTAGGAAAAACATGTTTTTACACCAGGATCAAACACAACCAACTATTCGCCCAGTCAAAACAAGTGTCCACACCGAGAAGAAAGTGGAAAATATTTGTGCATTCAGCAAGGCCTTATTATTTTAGTAACAGTGCGGTGGAAAGGACAAAAATACAAAAACACGGTGCTATTCACAGAGAAATGTTCTCAGACCTGTGATTTGTAACCGGCATCTATGTTTGGTCTGACATATTAACCCAACCTGATGTCACACTTCTGTTTGGCTGCATCTCCGAAACCAAAGGTGACGATTTTGCGAACAAAAGATATGTATTCAGCATGATTGGAAATAGTTTTTTTTTTGCCCCCAATCTGAAGCTTTTACTCCGACGAGGGGTAATGGAAATTTTCCCACCATTCTCATCTAGATACACAAAGATTAAGACAATGTGACTCAAGAGTCTGAGTCAGCAAAGTGTCCGTGGACTGATCTTTCTGGGTGTTTTTCCATTGATTCGACATGCATATTCCCAGATGGAAGTGCCAGGATTGATTTGGCCCACGTTGGGGAGAAAGTTGTGAAAGGAGCATCCTGTCACGCCTTTTTCCTTTGAAACCCACTGGCGTCACTAATGTGCCACATTTTCTTTGTGCGCAGCCAAAGACTCATTTGACACGCTGTCAGAGAGGTGGGAGAGTTTGCTTTGTGCTGGAACCATGTGAAGATGTGTGTGTTCCATTCTTTTAAGATAGAAATCCTATAAGTATGGATTCCCACAGTATGAAGATTATGAAGAAGGTTGAAATACTGAAATACTTTTATCCTTTTATTGAAAATTTGAGTGGATGTTTTTTAACATGTTAGCCGACAATCTCTCCTAGTTAGTCAATAAATATAAATGGTGTTCTTACAAATAAAAGGAAGACTCTTAAAATGAAACAGTGCCCTGTTTGCTTGGAGTGGATACTTCTGCATCTTTTCGAGGAGTTTAAAGTAATTTTTGTGGGGTTGTATGATGGCAGGGATAAGTGGTTTCGGGGGCTCTTTTTAAAACTTCCGCTCATGAGCGCTTTTGTCCTTAAACTGGGGAAACGAAACGCAGACCGGCGATCGACCAGGCTGAGGAACTGCGTGGTGTGTCCAGTGTCTGATTATCCTGACCTGCACTGACCTTCTCTCAGCAGACTGTGTGTGGCAACATCCTAACGCTCAGGGTTTTTTTTTTTCTGAGAGCAGAATGTCCTACTGCGTATCAGCCTTTACATGTCTAATAAAAATTATGCGTACAAATTCTTACTGGAGCATGCTCCAGCATGTTTTGGAGTTTTGCAAATGATTCCCAAGAGAGTGCTGCCCGGTGGTATGCGTGTTAGATTACTCCTGTCCCATGCCTTTAAAGCATTTTTAAATAAAGCATGACATTTTGATTTGTCAGTGGGAAAAAGAAAGCTAAGAGGAATTATTGCATCCAGTGAAATCTTTATAATTCCTTCTACTCCGATTTCCCAAGAGCAGCTTGGAAAACAAGGATGGACTCAGATTTGAGTGCGACACAGTGCAGATGTGTCTCATGAAACTAACAGTTGTTTTATTGCCTTGTTGGCCATATGGCCATTAGCACGCACATGTTGGAGTGGCAGACGTCCGCCTCACTCCTCCTCATCTATTTCTGGAGCCGCTGATTAGTTTAAATGTCCTCTGTAATGGCTGCGGTGCCTGTCCTCACCAGCGGTAGACTGGGATGAGCCCATTTGGCATTAGCTCGGGTAATTATCGGGGTTCGTGTTTTTCCGGTTGTGCCAGGTATCTTGGCATTTGCAGCATGCCGTTTAGCACGCTCGCCTTTGCTGGGAACGCACAGTAATGTCTGTTGAGCGTCACTGAGGGGAAAACGTGTGCAGGCTTTTATGTGTTTGTTTGCAGATGTCGTCTGCTCCACAAAATTGACTTTTGCCGGAGGGCTTTTTCGACTGGTTCTTGGTTCTTGTTTGCCGTAGGTTGGCCTGTAGTGCGCCTGCAGGCTCTCCCGAATGCACTTTGCTGTCTCTGACGTGTAAAAAAGAGCAGTTTCTTCAAATGTCATCTCCTTCTCATCTCTGACTAACCGCTGACAGGTCATGAGGGCAGTGGCCGCCGGAAAGAGGAGATGAATCTTTGATTACAGTGGCCAGGGAGATATAAAATAATTAGAGTTGAATGGTGCTCCTTTTGCTCTGTTGAACTTGTCATGTCTGTCTTGTACTCATTAACATCTCCTGCTCCACACACATTTTTGAGATAGTTAGTCAGCACAGGGAAATTATGTGTAATGTGGTGATATTACGATAATGATATTAATTGTTATTCTTGGATTTTTATGAAAGAATGATGTACTGAGATTTTGAAATAATTTTAACATTATGGAACAAAGCTTGGTAGCTCGAGCAATTAGCAATGCTCGACGAATGAGTATGATGACAAATGCACACCATTATATGGGACAAATGTACATTTTACCAAGCATGACATCAACATAAAAACAGATTTTATTCATAACTTCAAAGTTATAACTTCAAATAAAACAAAGAAAAGACCACTGAAAAGAAGCCAGGCCTGAGCCATACAAAATTGAGTGTTATTATGCCTTCTGAAGGGTGCATGTGGTGTTTAATTGTTTGATTCCAGTGTGCAGTTACCAGTTATAACATGCTGGAACAAAAAAGTATGATCTAAGTTATGTGAGTAAATTGACCTGAAATGGACAGTGTGTGGTTACGAAATCTCTATAAACATGAAAGTTATCATAACCCTCAGACTAAATATGCTCTGTATCCAAACAGCTGATGATATTGGATGATCAATAAGTCAGCTCTGTACTTAATCTATAACTTCTGCTAATAATTTGCTGCTCTGCAGAGGACATGTTGACATACTAGGACTGACTTATGTTCCCATTTTCAGGACTTGGAAGTCCCGATGATAGCAGATGCTCCATGATAGTTTAAACTATATTTGCTATTAGATATACAACCTTGTCGTGTTTAGTCTTAAAGCGTCCGTATTTGTCCTGAGTTTCTGTCACAGTCTGGCAAACGCGGTTTATAAATACTCTCTTGTCACACTGAGCAGAGCCTGTTGGCAGACATCAGGGTGGAGAGTATTCAGCTCCAGTTCCGAGCTGTCAGAGAGGGTGTGAGAGGATAAACTGAGGACAGGGTGAGGGAATCTTATATTGTATCACAATATTTAACGTATGGTAGGGGAATTAGCTCAAAAGGTAGAGCACTCTCTTAGCATGCGATAGGTAGTGGGATTGTTTCCCACATTCTCCAAGAGCTCTTTTGAGTGTGGATTCCTTCAGTGGAAGCCTAAACCCTTTAACATTCTGCTCAAACATTTGGTAGAGCATATTTTCCTGCCATTTTGAAGATGTTAAAGGACGATGGAGTGTAAAAAGGGATGAATAATTACTTTTTAAAAAATCAAATTACTGGTTAGAATGTTTCAGTGACTCAAAATGATGTTATTTGTGCATTTCATTTCACATTTCATTAATTTTATAACAAATGTGAATGTGATCAGAGCCAGAACAAGGTAGTATATAAACTTTAAACAACAAATGAATGAATGTAGGTATGTGATTTGTCAGTGCATTTGTCACATTTATGTGTGTAAAATTCAAAAAGTGCACCACTGCCAGCACTTAAACAATGTTTGTACATGTGCGTGTTTGAATTACTCGAACTACAGTCCATTTTCTGTAAAAGATCAATGAATCACTGCCACCCCTCCAATAGGATTTAAGTTTTAACATGTTTATGTATTGTCAGTTAGGGTTGGACCACATGGTGTGCCGGGAAGTGTGATAATGAAAGTGTGCAGGCTAGCAAACAATCCTGAATATGTCAGCATTATATTTTCATAACAGAACCAAAACTTACAACAAACATTTTTTTTAAACAAGCTCAATTTTAGAACCAAGTAAGCCTGATCCAAGGTTTCTGCTCTCACAGTAGTGCACATACCAGCGCTGACAGTGGGCTTAAACCTTAAGCTAGTGCACAGATCAATAGGGTTACCAGCAGGAAAAGGTGGTGTGGTGAGCGTGTACGGACAGACTCGAGGAGGCTAAAACTATGTGGGCAGAAAAAGACGCGTTGAGTCATAAAGATGATGCCCTCACACCCCTCAGGACGCAAGGAACACTGATAATACTTGCCCCGCTGATGAGCAATGTTTTCATTAGCATTTGCTGTGGGTGTTAGGATTTCAGGAAATTACTTCATGAGACAAACAGCTTTTTTGCAACTTTTCAAAATTAACATTGAATGTCAGTTGAGGCCAAATGATCCATTAAAGTGTCTGCTGCCAGCCTACTGAGATGACAGGGTTTTAAATATGGCCTGTCGTCCAGGGATCTTGTGCTTGTGACATCTTTTTTCACCCCCTGAATGCTGACAGCTGAAAAACAACGCATTTCATCATTTGTCAGTTGGGCGTCCCATCTCTGTGAGAATAGTGCATGATTATATGCTTATCCCACCACAGGACAGACTTCATAGTCGCCGCAGAAATATTTGTGTTTCTGAAAGTATATTCTGAGAACGTTTCCTCAGCCATCCAACGATGTGATATTCCTTTTAAACATTAGCATCTGAAATAGCATCCATGGTAAAACTATTCACCCAGGAGTAGGAGACCCCCTTTATATGTAAACACAGTTGAAACGACTCACAGGAGTGAAAAAGCTTCTTCTACACTTGGAGAACCGAGTTTGAATTTCTAAGTCTTTATAGAGGTGGTACATTTTGGAGTAACTGACTGAAAACAGTAGCGCTCATGGTGAGTTCAGGGTACTTGTAAATCTGTACTCGGAAGGTCAAGACAATAATGAATCTAGACTCTACGGACACATAAACAAGCTGCAGATTCAGAGGCTTTATTTTGGTGCCTCAGACTCTGTGGAGTGTTTGGCATGAATTCAGGGGCACGCTCGGTCATGATGACCAAAATATCACACTGCAGTCACAGAGAGTGTAACGCGAGTTCGCAGTGCATATCCCATGTCCTCCACTAAATATTTCAATTTGATTTAAACTGGGTTTTTTTGGGGGTTTTTTCATCCGACTGAAACTGATAAAGCAAATGGGAGTATTTTATTTAATTAGTATTTTATTTATTTATTTATTTAATTTTTTCATTTAATCAGAAAATTCACCGGATGTGTATAACTTTGTGACCGATTTAGAAATCAGATCTATAAATGTACCTCTCAGCAAGCAGTCCAACACCATCAACTGTCAGGTGTTAAGCAGGACGGGGTCATGGATGCTCTATCACCCAAACTAAATATAGCTTCCACTTCCGGGATGCTACTGCAGCTGATCCCCACAGCAGTTGTGATAACATTCGTTATCAGACCTCAGCCATTTCTTCATTGATTTGTGGACGGTTATTTAGGCTGACGGGGCATGCAGGCTCCAGAAGCCACATTTAAATCATTCTTCATCTAGAGGCCATGCCCACCAGCCCCTAACCTGTGGAAATGGACGTGGGTGGAGTTGGATGATCCAGCCATGGGGTGTAGCCAGACATACTTGGTGGTGTCTGCACACTCGGAAATCTGACAGTATATTTCTGGAAAAAGGAGACGTGTTGATCCGAGATTAGTTTTATTGTCAAACATTTTGCTGTGGTGTCTTGTGCACTAATACGTGTTGAATAATCATAGTATGCTTAACCTTTCACTGCACACGCATCCTTACAGTATGAGTGACAAACTCCTGGAATAGGTGGCTGTCTTTGATCACTTGCTCTTCATGCATCGTCCATTGGAGACTTCTAATTCATAGGGAAAAAAACAGATTGATTTGAATAAGAACCCAATAAAAAAATGGCCATGTTATACTGAATAGGAAGCCTCAGACTGCCGTGCATATGTGAAAAGAGCTATTTTCTTCCATACTTTTTCGCTTGCTATTTGGTGCATTTAAAGGCTTTATGTCTCTGTTCTCCATCGAGTCTGAAAACAATTATGAAACCACGTGTGACTGCTGTTCGAACAGTCTGCTTATGCATCCATTCCCTGGGTTTGTCTCAAATACACGTTTTTTAAACTTACACTGACATTCATCTGTTGTAAAAGACTCCGTTACACACTCGCCCAGCCATGGAAGTTGTTGCAAAATGCCATGACTCACACTCAAGGTTGTGGAGGAAGCAGCTTAAGCCAGTCGCTTACCCAACACGCTTCCTTATAAGAAACTGGGATGGATCATTATTCAGGGTTGTCCATTAATCTTTGCCTCTTCCAGACACTTTGAGGTTTGAGTGGGAGTCCAGACAGTCTCTTGCGATTTTTATTTGACACCCATCAACACAGAGAGATTACGCAATCGCATTAACTTATGATTTGGCTCAGGTGAAATGAGTCGTATAACACAGCTTATTGTTTTTCTTTTGTTCCGCTGCCGTCTTTTAACAGAGCACAAATATACTTCAGCTGGTACCTCTCTTAGTTAAAATACTGACACATTTGATATGTTTGGGTGGAGACAGCATCACCTGCAGTCAACGCTAAGAAAGTATTTATGGTGCTTTATTTGTTGATGCACTGTGTCCTCACTGAGAGATGTCGAACCATGATGGATATCTTCTGCCCTCTAGTGGAGGATTGTTGTCCTTATTGAATGCACATTTCTCACTTGATGAATACTGGCTCTTATTCTTGTTTTACCCCACGTTTCTCCCGCAGAATGCAAAAAGATGCCCCATACTTTCAGCTCCTTCCCTACGGAGACTCTCATCTCAAGGCCCTTGTCCGCGGACAGGGTCTCGACCAGCGCTCGTTCTATGGAGCCCTACAGCGGGGACGGCTTCCTCTCCATCGTGGGTAACATCAGTAATGTCAGCCTGGGAGTCGCCCCCCGCTGCACGTACAAGGAGGACTTTAAGCGGGTTTTGCTCCCCGCCGTGTACAGCATCGTCTTCGTTGTGGCCATCCCTCTCAATGCCACCGTCATCCTGAAGATATGGAGGACCAGGCCCAATCTGTCCAGGAACAACATCTACATGCTCAACCTGGCCCTGGCTGACTTTCTGTATGTGATGTCGCTGCCTTTACTCATCTACAACTACGCCAGTCACGACTACTGGCCTTTTGGAGAGTTTGCTTGTAAACTAGTCAGATTTCAGTTCTACAGGTGGGTTCTTAACTACAGTATCTTTAAGATACGATCACGTCCCGGTTTGCCCGGACAGATTTTACCTTTTTCTCCTCTCGTTTCAGTAACCTTCACGGCAGCATCCTGTTCCTCACCTGCATCAGTGTGCAGCGCTATGTGGGCATCTGCCATCCTCTGGCGTTTCTGTCCATACAAGGTGGCCGGAAGATTGCGTGGTGGATCTGTGGTGGGGTGTGGCTCGTGGTGGCCGTCCTTTGTGCGCCGACTTTTCACTTTGCTGCCACGGGAATCCAGCGCAACCGCACCGTGTGCTACGACCTGAGCACCCCCAAGCGCTCGGTGGACTACTACCCCTACGGCATGGCTCTGACGTTCCTCGGCTTCTTGCTGCCTTTCGTGGGGGTGATGGTGTGCTACTGCCGAATGGCCCAAATCCTCTGCCGGCCAGTGTCCTGCCAGGGGGTCTCCGTAGCGACGGGGGAGAAACGGGACAAGGCTGTGAGGATGATTATTGTGGTGGCGACAGTGTTCTGCATAAGCTTCCTGCCCTTCCACCTCACTAAGACCATGTACCTGGCGGTGCGCACTTTGCCCGGCGCCCCTTGCGAGATGAGAAACCTGTTCTCTATCATCTATAAGAGCACCAGGCCCTTTGCCAGCATGAACAGCTTCATGGACCCCATCCTGTTTTACTTCACGCAGCCACGCTACCGTCGCAGCACCAGAAAGTTCATGCTCAGAGTCACCACCCTTAGGGACAAGGGCACCGGCGTGTGAGCAGAAAGTAGCCCAAACGGCGTGCCAGCCATGAAGCTGGGGTCGGACAGGCTTTTAACTTCTCCGCACTGTACATGCTCAAAAGGTTCCAACACAAAGGCTGGGATTTTCAGATGTGGAGGTCATCTGTGAGAGACATTTACACAGACATAGCCAACAGGCTGGGTGTGATTTACTTAGAAAAGCCAGCTGTGTGAGATTTCTTTTCTGTGGCTGAGGTACAGTATGCATGCAACTATATTCGCACTGTCAGATCTGGGTATTAACACACTGTCCTGTACCTGTGAATCCCTTAGTGTCAGACCCCACTGTGGGCTGGGTTGCTGTTTTTCTGTTACTCACTTTATGAATGAGTTCCTTTGAGCCTAAATAAGCTCTTTTCCCACTTTGCTTTTTTCTTCTATTTGAAGATTTACAGTAAAAGGTGAAAGAAAGACTTAGATGAAAGAATAATGCTGTGTTTAAGATCAAATCCACTAAAGCACTTATTTGTGTAGAATTCTCAAAGTGTTTTTTGGGTTTGTTTATGACTGATTACATTAAAAATGTTTGTGAATATACTTAAAAAGACTACGAAGAGAATGGCACTTGCAGAAGTTGTGAGAAGACTGGGAAAAAAGATGTAAACTGCATCTTTATATGAATGGAGTTTGGCATTTTTAATTGAAGTTCTTTTTTATGTATTTGAAAATTATTCAGACATGTATGTTCTCACCACTGGATGGTGTAAGTACGTCACTGTGTGGAAACACTGCCCTGCCTTCTGTGTAACTGCTGAAGTTAAGCTGGTGTAGATCAGGTCTTAACCTACGAATCGTTCCCATGGGGAAATGGACATTAACTGCTTGGTACCGTCTGACCAAGTCAGCCCGACGCACGAAAGTCTAAACTGTCTACTTCTTTTGATATTTTCTGACGGAGTAATACTAAATGACTTATTTTATGATTTAGTGGATCTTCACAGGTGGAGGAGAAATGCATCTTGCATTGTGACGGGTCATATACTTGTGTAGTGCTACGTTGTCAGCTGTAAATGTATTGCTTTTACATTCTCCATACACTGTGATATATTTTCTGTCTTTTCCAAACTTGGTGCAGTTGTCGTCAAGGTTAAGTGTTGCCTTTGTTGGTCCCTTTATTTCTGTCAAGTCTTCCTCTGGAGTTTCTTTAATGTGATTGCTTTTTTTTCGCCTTTTCTTTTAGCACACAAACTGTGAATCTGTGTCTCACAGCAAACTCTTGACAGAACACGCCGCGCTTGCCTTCAGAATGAAGAAAAACTTGCACTTAAGTTTGAGCCAGTTTTGTTTTCTGTTACAATTTAGTATGTGCCAACAGGACATGGTGTGAACCTGAGACAAAATAACATTAAACTGAGCTAAAAATAAAACGTAACACTGTCACTGTACCAGCAGGCTTTTGGTAACATTGGAAATGCGCTTTAAAACACACTCATTTGAGATGCATTCGTGTGTATTTTTATGTGAACGTGCAGGTTTTTTGCATTCAAAATGCTCGGAGGGTTTTGACCTGCAACATGAGGTCGGGCCCCTTGAAAATGTTATGTGCCTGTCACTGGGTTTGTATCTCATCTAAAGTGTGCTGTGGCTACACAGTTTAGTTGTTAACATGTGTGGGGATGTATCAACATTTTCAGTGTCGGTCAGTATTATTTGAAGTGTAATATTTCTGAAACACTGTAACAGGTCAGTATAGTGAATATTGTTTGATTTTTGTTACTTGTTGATGAAGAGATTGTTCCTTTTCTTCCTTTTTTGTCCTGTAAGTTCTTCTGTTTTTGTGTCAGTATGTTTTGGATGCGAGTCATCATGTCAAACTTAATCAAAACAACTATAAATAAAAAGCCATACAAGCCACTAAACATTTGCACAAGTCATTAAATGTACCAAAGAGATTTATTTTAGCAGAACAAATTGTGCTGCAGATATAGTTCTCACAAAAACAAACTGTTCTAATTTGTAGGTTCACACAATTTTAGGATGTCAAATTCAGTGGAGTTTGTGATTTTCTCTTCTTAAAAACCAAGTCTTCAGTCTGAGCCAAGTAGGACTTTCACACAACAGTATGACATGAATTAACATAACAGTACATCCGAAGCAACACAACTGTGAAAGCCATTCAAACAAATGTTGCAGGTTCATTCTATTTACAGGATGGTTTCTGAGTTTTGATGTCTCCACTTCCTCCGCCTGATGCTGTGCGGCTCAGCCTGCACAGAGCGGTCAACATCCACCTTCTCCCTGGGTGACTGGAACTCAGCGTTCCCCCTGGAGCAAAAAACCTCTGTAAAACCTGCATGATCTGTGAAAACTAACGCATTAATTCTCCATTACCATCACACTAGGCTAAGCGGCTGCTGGGAATACCACGATTAAAAGTGGAACTTGGACTTTTTTTAGTGACCCTTGAAATTTAGAATAAAAATCCTCAAAAACTAATGAAGCATTGTGGAAATCAGACCTGTTTCATGAGTTCCAGGAATAATTCTAAGTCAGGCAAACAAGCAACAACACAGCAGTTTCTTAGTATTGTTCTACATGTGCTTTATTTCTGTCCAAAGCTCCTGACAGTACTGTTGCCCTTTTCACAAGGGAAAGGGCTATAATTGCATCTATTTAGGCCGCAGTATCTCTCCTCTATCAACATGAAAAAAGCTTTTCCTCTCAGTCCCCGAGGGGGTTATGACAGCCCCTATACCCCCTAGTCCCGCCCACCCCCTCTGCCCTATCTCAAGCATTAACATGCAAAAAAAACAACATAAGTCACGGAAAAGCAAATCATGGCAAAATAAGGATTCCTCCAACAGTTTGGGATTAGGAGTGGATGGTGCGCCGGGCCCTCGCAGGCGTCCCAAGCTGGCGATGAGCAGAGGTTTGCAAACAGCAGGCACAAACAATGGAAAAGCTGGGTTTGTGAGGAGGTTTGGGGAAACTTTGGGCCAAAAGACTTGTTTCGACTTTTCTTTCTTGCTTGCACGGATGCAGTTTCGGCACTCGACAAACATGTAAGTTTTTGATAACAGGGCAGCACTCACCTACTGACCATTGTGTGATTTACCAAACCAAGTTAATAAAAAAAAAAGTTTGATGCTCTGCCATCAGATTTTTTTTTTTTTTAAACACCGGTTGCTGTTTCAGGTTTGTTGCTGTTTGGCTGCAGGGGGAAAATGGACCACGGCTCGAAAAGGTGCTTGGATGCGTCTCATCTGTGGGGGCTGAAATGTGCGTGTGAACAGTAACAAAGAGAAAAAAAGACATGAACAATGGCAGAAAGAGATGAGAAGAATGCGGTCGTGTACCGCAGTGTCTCTTTCAAAAAGCTGGGGTCCGGGGGCGCCAGCAGGAGCGCGGACCGGCCACACAGACCAGACGATTCAGAGGCTGCTGGCGTCGCCCTCCCCCCGGAGTCCGGCCGAGCGGACCAGTCCTCGCTGACGCGTAATGTCAGTGTGTCCAGAAAAGTTTCCAAAATCTCTGCCACCGCCGCGGCCGTCCTCCCGACCGCAGACCAGAAGAGAGCCTCCCCCGCTCCCGTCTCGTCCATTTCTCCGTCTATCCGCCAGCTGACGGAGAAGTTCAGCGGGGGCTCCGCCGGGACGCACGGAGCCTGGCCGGGAGACGGTCCCGCGGCGACGCGGTGGAGCAGCACCCTTCCCCGGGCCCGAGGCTCCAGGAGAGACGGCTCTTCGTCCCGTAAATCCTTTCACGAGGACAGCGGCGGAGGAGGAGGATATTTCCAGGACAGCGACACCCCCACCGCGGAGTCTCTTTCGGACTCTAAGTTGCCGAAGTTGAACTCGGGCACCGATTCCGTGTCGGGCTCAGACTCGGAGAGAAAAGTTGAGAGGCGGATTTTCGTGCGTTTATCAGCCGACGGCAACACTGGTAAGAAACGTTATTCTCAGAGCAACGCGCGTGTCTGTGATAGCAGAAAGACCGTGTCTGCTGACGAAGAAGACGATGTAAACACAAAGGGGGCTTCTCCAACCTGTAAACCCCACCGAAGTTATCTCACCATTCACCACAGTGACTTTATTCCCTCCCATTCTGACAAGTGGCCTTGTGTTACCAAAATTAGGCAACTTTTTGATGAAAAACAAAGTCAAACTTTGCAGAGACAGAACACGGAGACTTGTGAGCAAATACAAGCAAAGTGTAGAGGGCATGTACAAGAACTCAGCTGCAAGGAGAGTGCTCCTCTCCCAGATGGAAGCGAACACTGGGGTAGCATTTCTGCTAATCAGACCAGTGGCCTGAGTTTGCGTGACAAATACACAGTCGGAGTACAAAGCAGAGAAAGCCACATTACTAAAGAGACATTTTGTGGTGGTATGGACTATTATGCCCAAGCTGATCACTTTAAATACTCAGATGATGAAGACGCAGACTTGGAAACAGCCAGAGTGTCAGAAAGAAACGTTTTTAGTCATTCCCAGAGGATTAACTCATCTCTATGCAGATCTCGCAGTCCCAGTGCTGAGGTAGAGGGAAGCCATACGGCCTCCAGAGCCACAGGGTTGACATCTGACCCTAACCCTGACCTTCAACCCCGTGCTACTTCGTCTTGGAGTCGATCGGTGAGCTTAGACACCTCCTCCTGCTCCTCCTCTCTCCAGCAGCCAGCCGAGAGGGAGAGAAGGGATAGACAGGGGGTCGGGCTGCCCAGGGATAGTTTACATTCCTTACATAGCTCCTCCAGAGCGCCAGCCCCCACCACCACCTCCTCCTCCTCTGCTCCAGCTCCAGATAAAGCCAATACCTCCTCCTTCTCTACTGTAACTCCCTCATCTGACAAAGGAGCCCCAAAAACAGTAAATTCTCCCCTTAGCCCCCGCTGTAAGTTAAGCTCTGGAGACGAAGAGGAGGTGCACACCAGGAGAAGAGGAGGAGGTGGAAGTGTTCGTTTTGAGCCCTCTGCCTCTGTTACCTGCCAAGGGGTGGACAAGGGTGCTGCCGAACGTGGGGGCGGCTATTTATCCCGCAGCAAGAATGGTTGGTGGGGTGCTAGGGCCATTGGCAGGTCCTCGGGCAGTGAGGAGGACAGTCCCACTTCTTTAAGCCCCCACTGTCGAGAGGCAATACGTCGCCGCTCACTGAGGAAGAAAAAGAGGGTGAGTGGGGCGACCACAGTAGCAGGCCGGGATGATTACAATGATCATGATGGTGAATCAGAAAATAGTGACAGTGACCCTGCTGTGACTATGGATCAGTCAGAGAGACAAATGCAGGAAAATGCTAAAGGAGAGTTCGGAGGGACAATACCTCGCAGCCACTCAGCACGAGAACCAAGCAGCTATAGCAACAGGACCAGGGTCCAGCACTGGGAGCGCATCTCCTCACCCGTGATGTCCACCACACTTCCTGGCATATCACGTGTGTCAAAGGTGAACATACCAGCTTTTGTTTCCGGCCCTGGCGACTCACGCTGCAGTAGGCGATACGCCAGTACTGAGACACTGAAAGAGGAGGACCCGTCTAGCTGTGCCAGCCGTGTGTTCTTTGGAGCTGAAGGAAGTACAGGCAGAACCGCAACCTCATCCATGATGAGTAAAGCCTATCATGGGAATTTTACCATGTACCGTTCCCCTAGCTTTGGCCATGGGGATAACTTCTCTCGTGCCCCTGTGCTTGTGCGCTCCAAGATCGTGCCAACAGTAACCTCCTTTTCTACCGTTCTTTGCAGAGATGGTGGGAGATCTTCAGGGGTTTTAGATGGTGAGACAGTGGTATTAAGGAAAACTGCTGGAGGGGCTCGGGTAAATAGTAGGGATAAAAATCCAATGTCCATGTCTAACCCTGATATCACATCAGAAACTATGACCCTCTTGAGCTTTCTGAAATCTGACTTGTCAGATCTCAAAGTGCGCAAAACAAGTGAAGGAGACCGATGTGGAGCAATGGAGGGGTCCTCCACATACAAGAGCAGCTCGGCACCTCATGGGGGGACCCTTCCACCCTCGGGTTGTCGCCCATCGCTCAAAGATCTCACTGCCACTCTGCGGCGAGCAAAGTCCTTCACTTATTCGGACAAACCAACAAGCGTGAGGCGTTACTTGACAGGGGGTACTACAAAGAGGAGCTCTTCAGAGCAACAGCTTGACTTGGATGATGAGAAGGGTGGGGGCAGGGTGATATTATCCGATAGGGAAGTAGAAAGTGATGGTGGGGATTTTAGGCTGGGGAGAGGACAACAAATGAGGGATTATGGACTGGAAGATGATGAGGAAATGATGCCAACTCCATTGCAGGAGAGGTGTGCGCAGGAAGCCAGGCAGGTAATTCAAGATATCTGCCAAATGTGTACCAGAGAAGATGATGATGATGTGAGTGTAAGGAGAAATGATGACAAGGAGGAAAAACAAGAAGCTGAGGGCAGTAAAGATCATACAAGAGGAGTGGATGAGGCTGAGTTTGAGAACACAGAAGACAGAGATAAACATGAACTGAGGAGAGAGAACAGGGAGAGGGAGAGGAGTGGACAAAGTATGCAGCTGGAGGAGCTTAACGGCAGGAGCACAGAGTGTTTGGAGAACTCAAAGAGACAGAGCAAAGAACTGGAGAGTGCTTTACTGAAGGGTGACTCAGAGGAAAGCATGCTCTATGACCGCACCGTGGATGAGCTTTCAGGCCACGAGTCAAGTTTAACAGATGAGGGGATTGTGACGGAGCCAGAGATGGGTCCCAGTGACCTCTCAGAGAGGTTGTTCTTGGGATCAGCTGGGGTGAATTTAGGGTCAAGAGCAGCAAGGCATGTGCTTTGCCAGCCTGTTACCGCATGGAAGCAGCCGGCTCCCCATGAGGTTGAGGGATTCAAGGACGAGGGAGAAAAGAGGACAGAGAGTAGCTTGAGTTGTACAGACTTTTCAAATGAAGCCAGTATTCCTGGCTCATTGGGTCTTTCTGTATGTATGGCTGAGACTGACAACCATTCCATGGAGATGACCTCTGCTGCCTGTATTAACAATGTCAACACTACCAGTGAGGGGATCCACACCAACAGCGCTGTGTCACAGGGGTCAGCGGCCACTGCGGGAGGAGGAGGATTTGAAACGCCTGCGACCCCAAGTGCTCTCCGTCGGAGGCGCAAGTTTTCCCCCTCTGGGAACAACAACACAGGCTCTGATTCCAGTAATGGCAGCCATGCAGAGCCATCAGCAGCAGCTGTAGGAACAGGGGAGTCCACAGTCTACCGTTCTCTCAGTGACCCTATGCCTCAGCGCCGCTGCTCCGTAACAGAAGAGGGGAACAACAATTTTTCATCCGTAGACAGCAACCTTCTCGGCTCCCTGTCTGTCAAAGGAGGAGGGGGAGGTGCTTTAGAGGGCTCTGGTGCAGCTGCGTTATCAGAATACAAGGGCAGCGTAGCCAGTGACTTGTCAGTGTGCAGTGATGTTGGGCTCCGTGATGATGGCATTCGGGATTACAGTGGAGTTATCAGAAACATTGTAGCTGAACCAGGTGCAATGGACCGACTGATGACAGATGACCACGGCAATGGCAAGGCACCCAAAAAGAAGTCTTTCAGTGACCCTAGTCGCCGTAGCGATGACCCTTCACTTTCCCATAATGACCCTCAGTTCAGAGGGCAAAGTAGCAGCTCTCAGCCAATCAGTGAACTGGATCAATCTGGACAGATTCCACCTTCAAGCAGTGAGCCAATCCTGAGTGAGCAGAGAGAGGAGCGGTGGGAACCAGAAACTAAGCCCACACCGCTGCATCAAGTCAAGATGGCTCGCTCCCTTTCAGAGGGCACCAGTCACTCTGATAATCATGATGATGAAGGCAATGATGCAAATGACCAGGATGGAGAGGAGGAGGTGCAGAAATTCAACTTTGACCTCAAGCTTGCTGGCGTTCTTACCCCTAGAATAATCCGTCGGCCCACGAGAAAACGTCCCAACAGAATGACTTTTTTCCCTCACGAGGACCCATTTGAACCCCTGGAGCTGGGGTCAGAGAACCAGGAGCAGCACAGCGGCCAAACCAAGCTCACTTCTTCTCCTCCAGCTCCTTCATCACAAGTCAAACCCAAAATAACGCCCAAGCATGTCCGCCACGCCAGTGAGCCGGCCACCTTCATCCCCATCTCCCCACCTCCACAACTTCAACCCCTGAAGGAAGCCGAGTGCCTGGCTGTCGGATCCGTTGGTGGACCTCCAACTATGAGTAAGCCTCCAGGAGACGAGGCCCCTTCTCTGGAAGATGTGACACAAAAATACATTCTGGAACTGAGCACCTCTGAGAGAGACACCGAGGCCCAAGGGGTGCGAGATGGTGTCCAAGGTTCATCTTCAGAGGGTCCTGGGCAGACCAGCACCAGTGGACTTACAGAGCCTGCAGCTCAGAGGAAGGGCACCGAAGACGCAGCATCTGCCTCTGCTCCACCGAGAGCCAAACCCAGAGTGGTGAGTTCACAGTTTTTGTTCTTTTTATAACAGTCATGGATGCCCTCATGATGTGTGAGGCTTTGAGCTTCTATCAGTTAACTTCCAATATTTGAATGCTCAGTTTTTGCCCATTTAAAAAAAAAAAAAAAGATGCTTTAACAGTACATCACACCCAGTATTATGCATTTTAAATGTGTTAATTGTTTAGCTTTTATTTCAGCCTCTGTCACACAAATCAGCCATATTTCTTTTTAAAATTTCTTTAATTATTCTTAATGTTGTTGGGAAAACCACAATGATAAAAAATTGTATCAGGAAAACTTAATCTTGCTCTTGCACTTGTGTTTATTTGTACCGGGTTTGGACTTGCATGGTTAGTTTCAGAGTGCATTCGCACTATAATACCAAAGCCACTGAAGGCTGAGTACTGTTAAACAAACATCAGAGGATGTTATTAGTTTGATTAAACAAAACTCGCACAAAGACCATTAAGGAAGACTCTAAGGTCTGCTGTCTGTTTTCATGGATTTCTTTCACCCAGTGTAGATTGTGTCTGTGTCCAAATTAAAATGGAGTGGATACAAAAAGCAGCTCAACCAAAACACAGACTGCCTGTATGTATGCGTTTTGTGATGCTTCATTTGGTTCCTTCAACACTGAGAGACTTTTTCCACTTAATGGTAGTTCAGTTATTGTTGTGGTTGCGAGAGTGTTTTGCTCATTGTACAGAACAGTGGCCTGGCCATAAATAAAATGATATTACATCTTTAGCTGCAGTTTTGCATAAACTTGAAGTCGGCGTGATAGACTGAATGTTCGTGTTAGAGCAAATACAGACACAGGCAGGTGATCTGTTTTGTAATGCTTTCAATATCTAAGATCTCTGACTCAACTCAGAGTTAGTCTGCATTCATGAATGTGACTGTGCAACACTGAGAAATTTAAAACAACCCATTAAGGCTGAAGACACAACATCCAAGGTTTTGGTTTCATGACAGCACGGCTGCTTTTTAAAAAATTTATTGCTTTGCGTGTGTCGTAGGCCTGCACGCTGTGTGTTTTGGTGGCGAGGCCTAATGTTGTTAGCTGTGATTTACCACTGTGTGTGTTTCAGCAATCTGAGCCTTGTTGGTTTTTGTTTGCCAAAAACAGACGATTAACCTTTTTCGCCTGCCGCTCTACTCGACTTTGGCATCCTCTGAGGCTGCTTTGCCGCTCGCTAATATCATTTCCATCTATTAGTCTGGTATTCATTAGTTGTTCTTCCTAGTTGCCGTAGTGACAGGAGCGGGGAGGAAATGGGTTTGGGGAAATGGGAAGTTGTTGTGGTAACTGAAGGGGTTTGATGATATCCAGCAGTACTGGCAGGCGTGTGCACGCACATGTCACCGTGCGCTATGTGAGAGCCGTTCGTTGTGTGTGTTGTGAACTGGTTTCCTCTCTCTTCCCCTGTATAGGTGTGTGTGCTCCTGCCTTTGTGCACCCTGTTTGCCTGGATCATATCAATGCCTTGTTCAAACGCTCGGAGCCAGCACTCTGTGATCTGTGCGGCGCCCTATAGCTCTGGTGCACTGCCACGGTTTGTGTGATTTGGACTGAATGTAACAACGAGTGTGCCAAGCTAAAAGTGGTCCCAAGCAAACTGTGGGGGTAAAGAGGGGAGAAAGGCGGTGTTAGCGAGGGGGAAAAGGAGCTTTTGTCCTTTTCTGGAGTCTTGTAGTGGCAAAATAAGTTTTTGGACCTTAAAATTTCCATTACTTTTTCACGTTTTTACTTTTATCTTGGTCTCATTATGATCTTTTTATTCTCCCTGATTCTTATATTTACTTAGTAATAATCTGTTGTTTGCATGCCTGCAAGGCATTAAAAGTGTTGCATATCAAATTTCCATTTGACTTATTTAGGCTAATTCTCCAACATTCCACCCCATGTTATCTTATTCTTCTCTCTGCTGTCTCTCTGGAACATTGCTGTGTAATGAGGTCATACCGTTTGTCTTGGTGTAAGGCAGGCCGCCCAGCCAAATGTCAGGTAGATGGAGAGAAAGAAAGATGGAGGAAGAAAAGAGACGGGAGTTGGAGGGAAGCTTGTTGACAAAAAAAAAGTAACACGATTAAAATAGAACTGAAAGAAAGTTGAAGAGTGAGGCAGTGATGGAGGGAGGGGGAGCATTGGATGAATAACTCTGACCTATGGCTTCAACTTCTTGCGCCAATGTACCAAAGAAATGTCCAGTTTACTTCTCTACAGTGTGATATAAAGAAAATGTTCATAGTTTTCTTTATTCCCAGTCCTCACTTTATATATCTGTTGACTATTTTGAGAAGTATATTGAAATTTTGAAAATGGGTCTCCATTTATACAGCACATTGCATCTTCTCCATCAAAGCAGATGGGTTCATACAGATTGCAATGTTCTGTTCCTGAAACCAACAGTCTGTCGGTCGCATTTGTTAGAGTCAAATAAAGTGCACATATTGCTTTTGCCTACTTGTGATGGATGGGGATTCTTCTTTGTCCAGTGTGTGTGTGTGTGTGTGCATTTTCCCTTCATGTTTGAGCAGTTTTTACTTTAGCAGGCACTAGGAATGTGGCTCATCTTCCCTTCTCTTGTTGCATAACAGCCTTGAACTTCCCAAAAGATCAGTGTCATGCAAAAATGGTATCATCTATTTATTTCTTATGCACATTAAAACGGTTGAGTACTATGTCAGCGTGCCATATAAACACTTGTTTTACTTTCATGAGCTTACTGCATAGCGTGGACACACGCAAAGGACGGATCCCTTTGTCAAACCGCAGTCGTGCCCGTGTCCATTCTCATGTGATTGATGAAGCCAGTTCAGGCTTAGAAAGGATATGGGTCGTAATGGTGAGAAGAGAAGAGATGAAAGGATAGAGTCAGCGAACTTCAGAGACCTGAAGGTTGGTTTTGGCTCCTCTTGTCATGGATTAGGTCTAAAAGCGCAGTGTTTATAACTCCACTTTTAAAACTGACTTTGTTTTATCAAGCCACCCACATGGACTGCAATACTTTCCCTCTGCCTGATTTTTTTTTTTCCTTTCACTCCGGTGTTGCCGTTCCCAATCCTAACCGAGATGTAGGGCAGAAAAAAAAAGTGAAGCTCCACATGTAATGCAAGTTCATCTACAGTTGACTTGATTCACGTAAACAGGAAGTGGGCAGAGGATCCTCACAGCTCCGAAAACCCCTATAGAGTTCTTATCATAAATCACAGATGTCTAAAGGTAATTAAAAGCTGATTCTGTGTGTCCTTCTGTTATTTAACTGATCAACCCTGTAGCATATTGGTCATAGTATTTTGTATACTATAGTTGGGTTTTTTTGGTTTTCTGTTGGATGAATTTGTGAAAAATATGCGTGCATGATTTTCTTTCATTAAAATTGATTATTATTAAAAAGAGTGACACAGTGTGCCGTAACCTTTTCCAAATTGAATTAGAGTTCTCCTCCATCTGCAGCAATTAATTTTGATTGAAGAATATTCATGAGACTGTTATTCAGAGCGTTACAATGAATTTACCACTGACACTGTTGCTCTGTTGCGTAGTCGGAAGCACAGCAGTTGTACAAAATGCACCATAAATATCAGTGAGGAGGAAGGAGGTCATCCATTAATAAACTCTCTTTGAAAACAGGCTTAAAGGTTCAGTGAAAGGCCATGTTCCATATATGTAAAGGTCATCGTGTGTGTGCATGGGGTTATTTTTTTAACAGGTAAAGGTCCTCAGAGGTATACGGGGGGCTGAATAGTGAGAGATCCGGGGAAAGATGAAAACGTCAAGGAGAGATGAAAGGTTTAAGACGGTTTGCTCTGACTGATTTTGATTGCAAAGGCTCAGCAGATGAGAGGGGGGAAGTGGGATGAATCAGAAAATGAAAGCCAATGCTGTGTTTATCCGGGGCTTTAGTAGCACAGACGGCCTTTGATGGGGATGTTCTTACTTTTACCTTATGTGGTGGAGGCTGAACACTCTCTGAAACGACTCCTAAAAGGACACATCACTGAATCAATAAATTGCTGGAAGTGTGATGCAGGTTGCGGGGATGCAGTATACAATGCTTTTTATGTAAAAAAGGCACAGAACTTTTTAATTTTTTATATTTATTGCTGCTTAGAATTTTCTCTGTGTGTCTACAAGAGAACTGGTTTAGTTAGTTAGTTAAAGACTGCACACAGTTTCCTTTGGGAGCTTTTGAAGTTCTTGGTGTCAGATTTGGGACTTTCTGACGTACAAATGGATCTAACAAAAATAATGCTAAGCTGAGGTATACACAACGCTGTTGGAGTACCACCAAAAAAAGTAACTGATCAAGAAATGTCCCTGTCCTCTCTTGTTTCTGTAACCCTGCTTGGTTTAGCCCTCTACTCTTTGTTTGCACTGAAAATACGAGGAAAATCCAAGAACTACCAAGTGTGTGAATAAACATTTTTTTTCCGTAGAAGCCATAAAAAACCTCGGTGGACATGTAGTGTCTTTACAAACAAATCCTAACATGAGGCCCCATCTGGTTTCTCACAGCGGGGGGAAAACCGTCTGTGGGAAAACCCATTCTGAGTGTCCTTGCCCTTGGTTGGTGACAGTAGCAATATGCTTTGATAATCTTTAACTTGCCCTTTTAAGGATGTGCTTTAAAAAAAAAATCACTGTGGCCCTCAGTTCAGCTCCAACCTGTAAACATTGTCGTGGCTATCGGCGTTCTTCCACTGTCTTTTCCTCCTCTTTGCTCCCCGCTGCACCCCTCCTGACTCCTGTCTCTTTCTAACTCTCTCTTCTCTGTTAGTGTGGATCCACCCAGTATAATTACAGAGCACTTTGCTTATGTAAGGAAAGCCTCCCCTGAAACAGCACTTTCTAACAGACTTGCCGTTTCAGCTTTTTGTGTGTGCATGCAGATTTTGAGGCACTAAAGTGTGCGTGTGTTTGGGTTCATGCCATGCCAGTTGCATCTTATTTTCACAGTGCGTCCAAAGTGGATCCACCTGTCAAAGGCTGTGTGTGTGTGTGCGTGTGTGTGTATGTCT